ATTTCATTTTAAGATCGTATTTATTCAGACTTCGGCGTGAACGAACAGGGAATCAGCTCGGAGGTGAAATGAGTGATTATGAATAATTCTGTTGTCAGTAAAAAGTAGACAATGGTTCTGTTCCTGCTGGCATCCCCTCCCGCTGCCCCACTAGCCCGATGGGGGTGGGGGGTGTCACAGGCATGTGTATAAAGACGTATATGTGCGTGAAGACGGCCTCCGACTCAGACAGCGCTGAGGGACGGGGTGGCGAGGGAGGGGGCGCTGCGAGACAAAGAAACGAGTCAGCGAGCTGTCAAAGACTGATCACAATGTGGTGCAAGAAATCAGGCCAATGCAGAGAAGGAGGGAGGCGACATGCACACACACACACACACAGGGGCGTGCACGACGCTGCCCGGCTGTAAAGGCATTTAACACACACACATGTCGCTCACACACCCAGCAGAAGTAAATATTGGCGATCCTAACAGGACACGAGGTGAAGGATGTGTGCGCTCCTCTGCAGCAAGGGATTATGGGAAAGAGACAAACGGATGGAAGGAGAGGGGGAGGGAAGACGAACGAAGCAGGACGGGGGCTCTGACTTTATTAAAGAGAAATGGAGGAAATGTGGCAACACCTGCTCGTTCGGCAACAAGTCGTATCTGGAGGCCTATAAGGGGCGCTGTTACCACACACGGACTTTAATCTGCTAATCTGCTCTGGATTAAATCCCGTAATTTAAAATTGTAAAGGCTTCACACGTCATAAAGACAGCAGAGAAAACACGTTTCAGCAGAATAGACCAAAACATTCAGATTCCACAGAGGGGACATGTCGGGACAGAGGAGACGCGTCTGGACAGAGTGACATGTAGGGACAGAGGAGACACATCAGGACAGAGAGGACGCGTAGGGACAGGAGACATGTCCATACAGAGTAATACGTCTGGACAGAGGAGACACGTCTGGACAGAGGAGACACATCAGGACAGAGGAGACACATCAGGACAGAGAGGACGCGTAGGGACAGAGGAGACACGTCCGTTCAGAGGAACATGTGGGGACAGAGGAGATACGTCTGGACAGAGGAGACACATCTGGACAGAGGAGACACGTCCGTACAGAGGGACATGTAGGGACAGAGGAACACATAGGGACAGAGGGGACACATGAGGACAGGGGGACACAGGGGATGCGTAGGGACAGAGGGACACATAAGGACAGAGGGACAGG